AAATACTTTAGCTAATAACTTTAATTGAACATTACATCAATTCTTTTATTAACTTTCTTTTTTAAGAAAATGCATTCTTACGATCGGACTAATTTCCAGTAAGATAAAAATCTAAGAATTTCTAAGTTTGCCATCCGTGAATTTGTGTGAATGTTGAAACATTCTACATTTCTACATGAGCAATTGAATCGAAATATACGCACATTTATTTTCGCACATTCGCTATGTATGCACCATACCATTCGTATAATTATCTGTCTGTCATCACTTGGGTTTACACTTTCGCTAGATATCGTACTTTCTACTTCAGCCCATAAAATGGCACAATTTACCATAAATATTGCGAACGTCTACACCAGCACAAGAATTAAAACTAATATTAATATCTAATAAAAATCCGAACTACTGTTTTGTATTTGGTTTTAGTTTCACTGTCGATGAATTAGGATTTTCTTAGTTTTTCCAGTGAAAAATGTTTACTTACTTATATTAAAATAAATATTAATAAATAGAAGACCAAAAACCAGTCGCTTATTTTTGGTATACGTTAAAGGAGTCAGATAATTCAGGGTTGAAAAAGCTTTAGAGACAGAAGCGTGGACAGTGGGAACTGTGAAAAACGAAAGCATAGAAGCATTGCTGGAGAATGTTAAAAATTTTCTTGGATTTCACAAAAACACATGCCATTTTACTACATCCTGCCGCACTTTTACACTAAACCACTGTAATAATCGAAACTATGTGCGTCCAAATCTGAAAATTGGAGAAAAAGGAGCTGAAATTATGACTAATTTTCTTGGATTTTGCAAAAAACACATTTTTCTGAAAACATATGTGATTCTTACGACACCCAGTCGATCTTTTATTTTATTCAAATTTAAATTGGCTTGAACCACGATAAAGAACGAAGTTTCGCGCGTCTAAATTCGAAAATTAGTAAAAAAGGAGCTGAAATAATGACCAATTTTCTGGGATTTTGCAAAAAGCACATTTCTTTGAAAAAACATGTCATCTTACGACACCCAGCCGCCCTTTTATATTATACAAATTTAAATTGGCTTGAACCACTATAAAGAACGAAATTTCGCGCGCCTAAATTTGAAAATTGATTGAAAAGAAGCCAAAATTATGAATAATCTCCTTCCATTTCGCAAAAGGACATTTTCGTGAGTATACATGTCACTTTCCGACACCCTACAAATTGAAATTGGCTTAAATCCAGTATCGGACTTTGGACATTCGCAGGGACGTACAAACCTTTTTTTCGGGGAGGTACTTACTTATGAGGTACTATTCATGAAAAATTAAAGTCAAAGTATAAAATTCCTAATAAATAACCGGTAATTTCACAATTTTTAAAAAGATACATAACTGGAACCCTCAATAGTTCGAAACCCGAGGCAAAGTGTCTCGTTTACAAATATCTTACTATTCTTTACATTGAGGGAGGAAGTCAAAGACTTAAGGAAGATATCCCTTACCTAATTTATGAATGATACCTTATAATAATAAAGGTTCCTGTTTTTCAATCCAAAATCAAACTGAAAACTAATTTTGCTATTTTTTTTGTGAATTCTTGTGTACCTAATAAGACAAGTAAATATTGAGTGTAATTTGTCAAAAACAGCAGCGAATTGCTCATCGCGTTTACTTACAGTAATACCTACTCAATTTCACATCATCTGGTTATCGAGAGAAATCTTCAATGATCACGAACATTTAAAGCAAACAAAATCCTGTTTATTAAAATGGAAAGTTGTACCTATGTGACATTTGTTTTACAAATTCCATATTATGTGATTAATATAATAGTTATTGCATTTTATGATTCTAGAAATACAGCGTAAACTCTATATAACGACACTCAAGGGACTGAACATTTTTCGGCGTTATAAAGAGTGATCGTTAAATGGAGAGAAATAAAAGTTATTATTTTACTATTCTATAATAATATGCATTTACCAATATAGTACACATTTTGCACACGANTTTCCGAAATCCTGGTTACGCCACTGTTTTCCTTTATTTTCATGAAGTATACGTTTTTTATTTTAACTGTAATAGGTATTTTAATAATTTTCTTATTTTAATTCGTTTTTTTTGTTATTAATACAGAATCGCTGATTACCTACACGGATATGAAAGAAAAACACAATCGAAGGGACACCAGGACTTTTACAGGAACTTCGGCATCTCATCATGGGTTAATTTTGTCGATCCTGAAGGGCATCGAACAAATAAGCATTAAATCGTCGTTAAAAAGTCGTCTGATCATGAAATAAGTAATGTAAACAATCCTAAATTATAAACAAATTACTTTTTTGCGTTATTTCTATACTTATTTTTAACGTTAATAACATCTAGATAAGGGCTAGGATTTTTAAAACTTTTCTATTAAATAGTATGTAATTAATTTAAAATGTAACTTTACTATGTAATTCTGTAAATAAAGTAAAACAAAATGGCATTGAACCTCTTAAGGGTGTGTTACTTTTTGGTCCCCCTGGTACTGGAAAAACGCTTTGTGCCAGGGCTGTGGCTAATCGAACCAATTCACTTTCTTTATTACGTAAAATAGATTTGTATGACGTAATTGTTATTAAAAATTTTTTTTGTACATAATAATCCGCTTCCTAACAAGCCCACATCCTATTGTGGAATAGAAAGCGTCGGAATAATTCAACTTCAGTATAACAGTATTCTGCTAAAACTGAACATCGCGATTTTACTTATTTTATAAATACTTCTGAGAACGCGCAATGATCTCGCTATACTAGAATTTCAAATCATCCCGTTGAAGTTCTTTATGAAAGTTTTAAATCCAACGAACAAACTTTTACAAGAACATTTTTGACGAATAACTTCAAATTAAAGACATAGACACGTGTGTACATTGTAGAACCAGTTAGTTCTCATTCTCATTACGTAATATTCTGCCCACGAATGCTTCATAAATTACTCGTCCATTTTCATTACTTCATTACTTATAAGTTCGACAAGAACAATTGTGAAAATGAACGAGCACTATTGGACGCACCTGTCATTAAAAAAACAATTGAAAGTGATTGTTGTGATATCTATAGGAGTTTCTGTTTTTGTGATAATTGTTCTCTATTCGTTTGGCCGTGAAAACAATTCGCCGATCGTCACGAACAATCCTCGACTAATTTACAGTAATCTGCAAAATTCTATGCCAGCTTTGACCGAAGAAAACAAATACGTGTTGGCCGCACAAGAATGCAATTCAAAAAACAAAACTTTATTGGCCCTAATACTGGTGACGTCATATTACGGAAACGTGGAAACTCGAAGCGCCATGAGGCGCGCATTTTCGAGTCTAGAACTCGAAAATATGAATATGCGAAGGGTATTCCTACTTGCCGTGGCAAAGAATGACAAATACACGAACCAAGGAATGATAGAAAACGAACAAAGTAGATTTGGAGACTTACTCCAAGGCAATTTCATCGAAAGTTACCGAAATTTGACTTACAAACATCTCATGGGACTAAAATGGGCAGCGCAATTCTGCGCAAGCGCAAAGTACGTTGTAAAAATGGACGACGACATCGTTGTAAACGTCTACAGACTTAAAAAAATTTTGGTGAGACAGTCGAAGGTCATACCTAAACGAAAAGGAGTAATAGCGGGTTACTTGATGAAAAATATGGTGCCAATACGGGACCCACACAGTAAATGGTATGTTAGTCAAGAAGAATACGACGTGGACAAATATCCCGCTTTCGTATCGGGATGGTTGTACATCACCAATACAAAAACGATAACAGATTTACTGGCTGCCTCTAAGAAGATACCTTATTTTTGGATTGACGACCTGTATATCACAGGGATTTTGGCGCAAATAGTAAATATTACTTTTATAGATCTGAGTTTCTATTTTACTACGTCTACCGAAGAATTAAAATGTTGCATAGACGATTATAAAAAATATAAATACGATTGTGATTATGTAATTGGCCCTAATGGAGGTGATAACAATTTATTTTTCGAATTTAATGAAATAATGAAAAAGTGTTACACTGAAGAAGGGTGCAGTAAAAAGGTGAGGACTTACAGTAACATGTGTGGAGCTCCAATAAAGACTATAGGTGGAGAAGCTGAAATTGAGAAATACAAATTGTTTTAATGACTTAGTTTGTTATTATTATTTATATTAGAGTTAATTTAAAAGTAATACCGCTTGTGTTATTTTATAATCAATCGTTAAATTCAAAACACCCTGTATACTATTTTGATAGTATGGCTAAATAGATCTGGCAGTCTAATGGTCATCTTTTCGTCAAACGTCAAGAAAATTGTCAAATGTCAAAATAGTTTAATTTTGCTTGTAATTCTAAAGACAAAAGCAAATAAAAACTAATCTTTTGCAATAAGTGAACATTAATAAAACTTTGACAATGCCGGACCACTTAGGAAATGAAATGCGAAAAGTTAAAGATGCAAAAGAAGAAAAGGAAATAAAATGTAAGTGTAATCTTTCGCTTTTTGCTTAAAACCTAACCTATACCGTTTTTAAAAAATACCTGCACATTTAATTGTATTTTGAATTATTTTTTCATAATAATATTACTATAAATCTAATTTTAATGTGTTTATTATCATAGCTTTGGATGAAGGCGATATTGCACTTTTAAAGACATATGTAAGTACTTCAAGTCTGATCATCTTGTAAACAAAAGAAAACTTAAAATAAAATTATTTCAGGGCCAAGGTCAATACACAAAAAGCATTAAAGTAGTAGAAGATGATATACAAACGATAATTAAAAGGGTCAATGAGCTAACTGGAATAAAAGAGTCTGATACTGGTCTAGCTCCTCCGGCTCTATGGGACTTGGCTGCAGACAAACAAACTTTGCAAAATGAGCAGCCCTTACAGGTTGCAAGATGTACTAAGATAATTAATGCTGATACTGATGATCCTAAATATATTATAAATGTGAAGCAATTTGCAAAGTTTGTAGTGGATTTAGCTGACTCAGTTGCACCCACTGATATTGAGGAGGGTATGAGAGTTGGGTACGTATAGGAATTATGTTTAGACCCTGAAAATTGTTGCTATAAAATAACAATTACAGAGTTGACCGTAATAAGTACCAGATCCATATTCCCTTGCCACCAAAAATTGATCCCACTGTTACAATGATGCAGGTGGAAGAAAAGCCTGATGTTACGTACAGTGATGTTGGGGGTTGTAAGGAACAAATTGATAAATTGCGTGAAGTAGTTGAAACGCCCCTTTTACATGTGAGTTAATTTCATAACAACATAAAAGGAAATAATATTGATAATATTTAATTACAGCCAGAAAAATTCGTAAGATTAGGCATTGAACCTCCTAAGGGTGTGTTACTTTTTGGTCCCCCTGGTACTGGAAAAACGCTTTGTGCCAGGGCTGTGGCTAATCGAACTGATGCTTGTTTTATACGTGTCATTGGATCAGAATTGGTCCAGAAGTATGTGGGTGAAGGGGCACGAATGGTTCGTGAATTGTTCGAAATGGCAAGGTCTAAAAAAGCCTGTCTCATATTTTTCGACGAAATTGATGCTATTGGAGGTGCTAGGTTCGATGATGGAGCAGGCGGTGACAACGAGGTAAATATGTTACATATTATTTTTACTAAACAACTGCTTAGTGTTTGCTTTTTTGATTGCATCTGTTTCCCTTTCAGGTTCAAAGAACTATGTTAGAATTAATTAACCAATTAGACGGTTTCGATCCAAGAGGAAATATTAAAGTCCTTATGGCAACAAATAGACCAGACACTCTAGACCCTGCCCTAATGAGACCTGGACGTTTAGATAGGAAAGTCGAATTCGGTTTACCCGATCTGGAAGGGAGAACTCACATATTTAAAATTCATGCTCGTTCCATGTCTGTCGAACGTGACATACGTTTCGAATTGTTGGCCAGACTGTGCCCCAATTCGACAGGGGCTGAAATTAGAAGTGTCTGTACTGAAGCAGGAATGTTTGCAATTAGAGCCCGTAGGAAGGTAGCAACCGAAAAAGATTTCCTGGAAGCAGTAAATAAAGTCATTAAGTCCTATGCTAAGTTCTCAGCCACTCCAAGATACATGACCTACAATTAATTTATTTTTGTTTACATCTGTGTAATAACAATAATATAAATTGGTAGTATTAATACAAAATTTGCGTTCGAAATAAATGTCTGTTTTTTTGGAAATTGATTGCTCTTTTTTATTCTACGAAACCCCATAATTTATCACAAAAATGTTTAGAAAACATAAAACGCGTTTCAACACCTGATTAACTTTTATTTAAAAAAAAATGATTAATAACTTTCTCTTTTAAAGATAATGAGTTGGTTTACTATAAATTATATTTCTGAATGGTATTTAACTTGTTTATTTTAATACTAAATAAAGCAACTTTTTTCTTATTTTAATTTTGAGGCACAGTAAAAATTACAGAAACAATATTTATAGATTTATTCAACTCTTCTAGCTTTTTATCGTGAACAGAGGCTATTATTTCATAGCTTTTTGTCTGTCCGTGTATATGTCACATCCTTGTAGTTTCTGCAGTTTTATTGGTCCATCTAAGGACCTAATCAGATAAGGGGATTTTAAATTGGAATGTTGTGGGGTAAAAATGAAATAACACAACTTTAGAATGGCTTTTTTTATTTTTACTATAGGTAGTTTATAAAAGATAATTATTGGTTCTTGCAAGCATTTAATAATAATAATAATTTAATTAATTGTCTTTAATATGGTGTTCAAGTAAATACAATGAAATAAAAAGGATATGCTGTATTTGGTGTCCTTGTTTTGTTTTGTTTTGTTTAATCGCCAGTCATCATTTCCATGAATTCTGAAAAGTAAACGTATTATATTAGTACACCCTGTATATTACACAAAGTGCATACGTAAGTATACACGGTGTTTAAGAAAATAAATTTAAAACGTATTTATTTTAGCAATCGATTTTTAGAAAAATTTTAACCAAATAAGATATAAATAAGGCATATTTAATTGTCAAATGATTGAATGATTAAGGAATAAAGACTAAAACAAAAGTTAGGTAGTCAATTAAAATGCGTTTTTCTTATCATATGACATAGAACGGAGACTTTTACTAATTATTTATTTTTCGAAAATGACTATAAAGGTTTTGGCGAAATTGGCTGATTGGGGGTGTATTTACGCGAGAAAATTTGTTTTAATAAGCTTCCATTTTCGGGAAAATCTGTTTTAATAGAAAGGAAAACTAGATCAAACTGATACATGTATCTTGTAATTTAATAAGAACAAATTTAAAGGATAGAGATTTTTAAACGAAAAATGGTCCCATTTTTGGGAAAAATCGTTTTATTCATGCAGTTTTAATAGAAAAAAACATCTTTTAACAGGTGATACAACAAAAAGATATTAAATTAATTAAAATATATATTTAATACATACCATCGAAATCTACAGTTCCTGATCCATCAGTATCGATTTCTGCAATAATACCATCAAGTTCCCTTCCCGTTAGTTTGTCATCGAGGGCGGCCAAGATTTCCTTAAGGGTGGCTGTTGTGATATATCCGTTTCCTTCTTTGTCGTATAACCTTTATCGTATTTAAAAATTATATTTTGATATTATTCTTACAGTTATTACAATCTTTCGCATATTTTTTCATTCATAAGAAAAGGGGAAAAATCACTCCTATTTGTCCTTTGAAATGAACCATTTGGGATTAAAAAGTATAGGGACCGTTTTCGGCTCCTTGACTATTTTATCTACCCCGTGGAATCGAAAAGGTCCCGTTGAAACAGTCCTTAAGGACTCCTCCTGTATCTTTTTTGTAATGATCTCGAATGGGCCATCTCAAAAGACATTTACATTAGAATGATAATAATTTTCCTTCTTCGGAAATTTATCAGAGAATGGTACCCACACGGGGCGTTTACCTGAAAGCTTCCTTGAGCTCCTGTTGGGTGCTTTCAGCGTCGTCTTCTTCAAGGAAGCGGGTGGCAATCATGCTGAATCCTTCAAAATCCACCCTTCCGCTACTTTCAGGGTCGTTTTCCTTGATCATTTCGGAAAGTTCTTTGTGATCGAACACTTGACCCATGCTGTTCAAGATCGTGCTAATCTTCGCCGTTTCAATCGATCCAGTGTTGGACGGATCGAACATTTGGAATGCTTTTCTTAAAATTGCTACTCTTTGCGCGTCGTCATCCTTAATTAAAATAATAATAATAATCAATAATTAATATTATTATTATATTGTCGTTATTTAAAGAACCTTCAGATTTGGGTGTAATTTTTAGGAAAAATCGACGGTTTTTGCGGTAGATCTGTTGTAACATTGCAATACTGCTAATACATAAAAAAAATATGTTGGATTTCACAAATATTTCTGTTTGGATGTAAGTTTGTCTGTTTGTTACTGTTTCAGACCTTAACTATGCAACCGATAATCATAAAATTTTGTACACACATTGTCAAGGGAACGGAAAAGAACATAGGGTGCCTTTTATCCAGAAAAGACGTACTGTTCCCGAGGGATAAAAAAATTATTTTTATGTGGTCGTCGAGGACCTTTCACGCGTATTTAGGGCACCAAAGCGAGCAAAACCGCGAATAAAATTTAATCTTTAATACATATGGGTGGCTGGATATATTTAGATAATCCTTTATTTATTACGATTTAAATAAAACATTAAATGCAAATGACAGTGTAAAAAAGTATTATTTATTAATTTATTTATCTATTCAATAGAAGCATAATAACTATATTATATAGACAATAACTTAATTAAATACTACATTTTGTTACTTTTTGGCAGCTTGTGAAAAAAAAAAATTAAAATATGCGAAGTTTTTTATCGAGTGTCTGATAGCTAAGTATGGCCAAGTGTTTTTAGAACTGGCGTCACAATTTTTTGTCAGTGAGTCATACTTTTAAACTATTTTTTGCCAGTTTATGTTACTCCTAATGTAACATTTTTGAGAACATGTTTTTATAATAGAGTGAAAATGACGAAAGACGATTGAAAATTGCCATTCTTTGAAATTGCAATGTTTATTGTAAACATAACTTTTTTCGTATTTTTAAGGCGTTATAACGAAGCCCTTTCGATTCTAAACCGAATTAAATTTTGTACATCTCCATTGTTAATTTGTTTACCCCGAAACGTCAAATGTTTATTGCTTATAGGTACTTCCCGTATTAGTTAATCATTATTTTGGAATTATACTTAATGTTGACTACGTTTTCAAAGATGTACTTCTACAGTTAGGTCGCTGATATAATTATAATTCAAATATACTATTCGGATGGAATGTCCATGTCTAAAGTTTGCATGTTCTAAATATTTTGTTCGTTTTACAGCATTTCTACGCAATGAGTAAAGTGGGGCGCAGGTTTATTTTTAGGGTATCCTGTCGTAAGTGAAAACATAGACAATATATAATATTGATGACACACCTTAATAATAGGGAATCAAGTAATTCTATAAATATTATATATTGCAAAAATTACATCAAAACAATTTACGTAAACAAATACGAGATTAGTTAGTAGTTTTTGAGAAGGCATTTAGATTTATCTAGAATGATTGTACAATAAAAATTTTTACAATGATTTCCAAAATTATTCTGCAAACTTTATTTTTTTCATTAACAATTCGTAGCTTTTTTAATTACTATGTAAAATCCCATTTTAAATTACATGACAAATCAAAATTAAAAAAAAAAATATTTTATTCTGTGAGATTGCAACTAATTTATTGTGAATTTAATCGATTAATTTATTTTCCTACTCGATAATGTTTCAGAAAACGATTGAAAACAACAAAATACAAACCTAGCCAAAAAAGGTTGCACTAATTATATATATATACCTATATAAAATGCGGAGCATCTTTATTTAACGTCATGCCAAAACGTGCTGTTATTTATGATAAATTGTGTAAATTTGTTTGTCACTAGTGTCACGAAACCGTACAAAAACTAGGGCTTGTTAATAACAAAGATACGTGTGCCAAAAATTGTTTCATCGCTTGTTTGCGTAAATGAAGAACATCATTTCAACGCCACCTATACCGGATTTCGATCGAAATTATTTGCGATAGTTAAAATTAGCCGTTTTATTAACATACATAGATGGGTACCTAAATGTCCACATGAAATACCACAACCGATTGTTAATTTACAAAATGAAGTAAATATTAATAAATATGTATCAATTAACCAACTTACAAGCAACAATAACAGAAAACAAATAACAAATGAACAGCAACGGTTTTGTTAAAAAAAAAAAGAAAACAGAAATGGTGACAGTGTATGTAATAAGATGAAGTACCCAAAAATGGCAACAAATTCAAAAAGTACTAAAAGATACTAGTTGTTTAATGATGATAAAATGATCTTGATTGTAACTGAAGTTGACACATTAGGTACCGAAACGAATTTAAGTTTTTTTTAGCGTTTTTCTAATGTGTAGAATTTTGGGTTTAACTAATTCATTCGGTTCAGTTATCGATTAATTGTCATTTAATTAATATTTTTTGTCTATTTTGAAAAATATACCTACTACTACCTTATTTGAAAAAAAAAAAGTTGTATTGGTACTTACCATTTTGTTTTTTGTTCCAAAGTACCGTTTACTTAACTAATGAAGAAGAGCGACCCGATCGCAATGGGCGATGATACTGTTTTAACACTAAACCACCAAAGGCAGCGTCGAATACCTAAATATATAACACTTTGAAACCGACGTGAATTTTTTGGTTTTGTTTTATATTTTTGTCCCTCGGCTGCTAAGCTTCACTACTAGATTTTTATCGACGATTTAAAAATATACAGGTCGTTGGAAATATTTCAAAATCGCGCCGGAATAACAGTGATATAAAGCTTTTTAAATTAACAACAAACGAATAAAAAAAACGTTTTTAGGGTTCCCTAGCTCTTAATGAAAAAAGGGAACACTTCGTTGTCCCGTCTGTCTGTCTCTCAAGACTCTTTTTCTCAGAAAAACCAAACACAATTTTTTTTCAATTTCGAATTGTGACTCTAAATTTCGACTTGCAACATGAAAGTATGACTTGCAACTCGACTTTTTGACTTACAACTCGGAATTTCGACTTGCTACTTGAAATTATGAGTTGCAACTCTAAATTTCGACGTGCAATACGAAATTTCGACTTGCAACTTGAAATTATAACTTACAACTAGATTTTTTTGACTTGCAACTCGAAATTTAGACATGCAACTTGAAATTATGACTTGCAACTCAGAATTTCGACTTGCTACTTGAAATTATGACTTGCAACTCGAAATTTCGACGTGCAACACGAAATTTCGACTTGCAACTTGGAATTATGACTTACAACTAGTTTTTTTGACTTGAAACTCGAAATTTGGACATGCAACTTGAAATTATGACTTGCAACTCGAAATTTCGACGTGCAACACGAAATTTCGACTTGCAACTTGAAATTACGACTTACAGCTAGTTTTTTTTTTGACTTGCAACTCGACATTTGGACATGCAACTTAAAATTTCAAGTTTAGTATTGGGTAAGCCATCGGTATAAGAACATAGGCTTTCAAAATTATGATGCGGGCTGCAGAGCCATGGTCTAAACATACAAAAAGTTTCACGAAAATATCTTGTAAACACGATAATATTGTTTCGCCACACAGTGGCATCATCAGGTGTAGAATATAATCAAAAATGACGACAAGGGAATATGTATAATTTCTAAGTTTTGTTTCTTTTTACTTTACTTGTATATTACAAAGGGGTAGAACGTAAAGGACATTTAAAACATTTTTGTTTGTTCATAAGAAAAACCGTTAAGCGTTTTTAATTACCTAATTATTAATAAAATAGTTCGAAGTGGTCTGTGAAAATACGTAATCCTAAAATGTAG